AAAAAAAAAAAAAAAAAGCCATGAATCTATGTGCAGTATTCCCCTAGTGCTGGGGTTCTCCCATTCTCCTTGATCGATCAACTTGGTCTTGGCTTGCTGGCTGTTTGTGCTGATCTTCTGGGGAGGGGCCTGTTGCTGTGGTTTCCAAATGTCTTTGCCGGAGGCGGAATTGCCCCGCCCTTGTCGGTCCGGGCAAAGGAAGCTGCTCCGGTTTGCTCTCAGGAGCTTTTGTTCCCTGCAAGCTCTCCGTACAGCTTTGGAGGACCAGGGCAGAAATGGTGGCCTCCCAGTCTCCACCCGGAGGAGCTGAGAACTCGGGGCCCCGCTCCTCAGTGCGCCCCCAGAGAAAAGCAGTCACTTCCGTGTCCCCGGTCTCCGGCCGCACTCCGTGCTCAACCGGCTTGTGATCGAGCGTTGCTATCTCTGGCACCCGACCCCGCACGGAGTCTCCAAACCCAGCAGATCCCTGCAGTGCGTTCCCGCACCGCTCCTCCCCGGGAAGGAAGGGGAGTCTCCCCGGATCTGCTGCTTGTTGGGTTCCTGCTGGGGGAGCCGTGCCCCGACTGGGCCGCAGATCACAGTTTATGGCAACCCCGAGCTGAGAGCCCGCGACTCTGCTCCGTCTCTGCAGCCGGCTTCCCCGCTCTGATACCTGGGAGCTCTGGCGCACTCAGGCACCCCCGGTCTCTCTGTGACCCCAAGGGTCCTGAGACCACACTGTCCTGGGAGGATTCCACCCCCCGCTTAGCCACTGCAGCGACGTCCCTCCGCTGAGCCAACTTCTAAAAGGTCCGATTTTGTGCTCCGCGGCTCTATCACTTGCCAGAAGCGGCCGGCGGAGGCCCCTCCCCCGCCGTCTATCCTCCCGAATATCGCCTCGGATTCACTTCTCCGCACGCCCTACCTTCCAGTAAGTGGTCGCTTCTCTGTTCAGAGAGTTATTGCTACTCTCCTGTTCGATCTCCTGTTGAGTTCGTAGGTGTTCAGAATAGTTTGATCCCTATTCAGCTGAATTCCTGAGACCAGACGAAATCTAGGTCTCCTACTCCTCCGCCATCTTGCTCCGCCCCCTATCTTATATGTTTTAACACATTTTTAAGGAGATACATAATATCCTTTACTATGGATATACCATTATTTATATAATGGAACAAGTAAAGGAACAAGTGTCTAATTTTTTTGCACTTTGTGATTATAGTCTATGTTGTGAGGAACATTCTTATAGCTAAATCTTTGTATATACTCTTAATTATTTCCTTTGTATACACTCTTAATTATATCCTTGGGTAAATTTCTAGAAATGTCATTGCTAGATGTTTTTAAGACTTGCATTGATTGTCAAGTTACCCTTCAGAAAGGTGTAACCAGTTTACAATCCCACCAGTGGTTTATGAAAATACCTGTTTTCCTATACGCTTAGTATTTGATATCCTTTTAGAGTTTTAAATTAGAAAATGTATGTAGTAACATTGTAAAAAAGTAAGAAGATGGGGATTTTCACCTAGAATGCTATTTCCTTAACATGGCAGTGATTATAATATTTGTTATAGTATTCCAGGCTTTTAACACATGTGTAAGTGGTTGTACTTATATGTACAGTTTTGTTTTCTACTTTTTTCATTCATTGGTAAGTAGTTTTCCCTGCCTTTACTTGGCCTTCACAATTCCAGTATTCAATGGCCAGATGATAGTGCAATAAATTCATATTTACCTAACTCATCCCCTGTTCCTGAACAACTAACTTGCTGCCAGTTTTTATTATGTATAATACCACAATCAAAACACAGAGATAGCTACCATTTATTGACTATTTATATGAAACAAACTTTATATTATGTATTTTTTTCTCCCTTTGTATTATTTCCTTAGGGTTTATATCCAGGAATGGTAATATTGGATCACGAACATTTTTATGGCACAACCTTTCTTCTTATGTCACTGTTTTCTTTCTTATTTCTTTCTATCTTAAACATTTATTAGAAGCCTACAGTGTGCCAGACACTGTGGTAAGAGGCACTGAGAATACAAAGATAAATCAGACAGTCCTTGGAGTCAGACTTTAAACATATAAGATAAAGAGGGACATGATAAAAGGCATTCCCAGATGATGGTGCATCGATTTTTTGGTTGGTTGGTCATCCTTCCTCCATCCATTCATCCATCCATCTATCCATCTATCCATTTATGCCCACATGATTTTCCCTCTGGAGCATGGGAGAACTAGTTGTAGACATGCCCGTTTACTCTTAAATATTTCAGTATAAGAATAAGGATTTTTTTAACCACAATACAATGACAAAATTCAAGGAATTTAATATGAATATCATACTACTGTGTAATCTGTTGTCCACATTAAAATTTAACCAATTGCCCAAATAATGTTCTTTATGGCAGTTTTCCTTCTTTGATCCAGGATCTAATTGAAGATCCTGCATTGGCTTTAGTTATGTTGTCTCTTTTGTCTCCTTTAATCAGCCATTCTTTGTCTTTCCTAACATTGATATTTTTTGAAGAATAAAGGTTGGTTATTTTGTTGTTGTTGTTGTTGTTTTAAAGATTTTATTTATTAGAGAGAGAGAAAATGAGTGGGGGGAGGTGCAGAGGGAGAAGCAGACTCCCCGTTGAGCAGGGAGCCAGATGCAGGGCTCTATCCCAGGACCCTGGGATCATGACCTGAGCCAAAGGCAGGCACTTAACCAACTGAGCCACCCAGGTACCCCAAGATTGGTTATTTTATAGACTGTCCTTCAGTTTGGGGTACCTGGGTGGCTCAGTCGGTAAAGTGTCTATTCTTGATCTCAGCTCAGGTCTTGATCTCAAGGTTGTTAGTTCAAGCTCAGCATGGACCCTACTTAAAAAAAATAAAAGAAGAAGAAAAAAAAGAATATCCTTCAATTTGAGTTTGAAGTTTCCTTTTGCTCAGATTCAGATCATGCATTTTTGTCAGGAATACCATGAAAGTGATGAGGTATTCTTTGCACATCATATCATAGTAGGAGGCATGTGATGTCAGTTTGTCCTGCTATTGCTGAGGTTGATTTTAATTCTTTGGTTAGGGTGGAGGCTGCTACGTGTAGTTTTCTACCATAAAGTGACCTTTTTTTGCTTTTGTAATTAATAAGTAATCTGTGGGGAGATATTTTGAAACTATGTAAATTTTACCCACTAGTTATATCATCCATTGATGATTTTCTGATTTCATCATTCCTTATATTTATTAGTTGGCTTTGTGCTATAAAAACTTTGTTTGTATCAGTATGAACTCATGTATTCTAATTTTATTGAATAGGTTATATTCTGTTACTATCATTATTTATCTTGATGCCCAAATTGTGCCATATTTGGGCAGTAGGAACCCCTTCAAGCTGGCTTCTGTATATTTTTGGTATGTTCCCATTATTCTTTGAGCAGTTCTTTTTGGCATAACAAGATGATCCAGCCTCATCTTGTACTTTCTTTGCCCCAATGTTGGAATCAGTCATTTTCCAGGAAACCTTCATCCCTTATAGTTTAGAAAACAAGATAAGAGCTAAATAAAGTATATATATTTTTAAAGAGTACCCAAAGCAGTTTTGCTGGTTTGTCTGGAACCTATTGTAATAGATGCTTCTTGTTGGAGTTCTGTCCGTAGAATGGACAAGACTGAGGAGGAGTTGAAATAGTCCAGGAAGATGAAGGAACATAAGTAGAGTCACAGTATATGGAAGAGCCCAGCTCATTGAGAGGAGCTACAGTTCAGTGTGGCTTCAAGTGGAGGACTCTGAGAATGAGGCAGGGACCAGTTCATTGAGGACTTTGCCACCCAAGAGCTTAATCTGCTTTGGTTTTTTTATTGTTATATTAATCACCATACATTACATCATTAGTTTTTGATGTAGTGTTCCATGATTCATTGTTTGTGCATAACACCCAGCGCTCCACGCAGAATGTGTCCTCTTTAATACCCATCACCAGGCTAACCCATCCCCCCACCCCCTCCCCTCTAGAACCCTCAGTTTGTTTTTCAGAGTCCATTGTCTCTCATGGTTCGTCTAGAGATGAGGAACCATCATAGAGGTTTAAACTGGGTAGGGAAGAGATCAGTTTTGGTAGATTTGCATTTTAAGGACACTGTGCTGTCACCAGTGGCAATATGTAGGCTGGATTAGATAAATGTTTAAAATTGTTTTCCAACATAGTTGGTGTTTTCTTTCTTAGAGGGCCAGTATTGCAGCTGCTGATATTAAGGCCTCAAAGGGATAGTTGTCAGTAGTTTAGTGTAAAGAGAGCAAGAAAGAGCCGCGAGCACACAAGTTAAAGCCTGAGTCATATATTTATCTGTTTGTGAAATGGCGGCAACTCTCCCTTTTAGTACCAGTTTTACAATCAGACTGGAAGCTGAATGTCAGTGTTTTCCATTGAAAAATAACACAGACAAAAGTAATGAAAAATATTGATGAATACTGCTACATTTTATTTTTCTTTATCTTTGGTAGTAACATCAAATATTCAATAACATAGACATTCTACCTAGTTTGTGAGGTAACCAAAATATGAAATGTAACAACCATGTTTTTTGAAATAATAGCAGATTGCAGTTTTAGCTTGAAGTTTGTTGTTATAACAAGTTTTATTTCTGTGCTATTTACAGCCTGTATCCCAGGCAGTTGGAATTGAACAAGCAACTCTTCTAAAACCGGATTTAGTTAGAAGGTGAGTATCTTCAAATTCATACCATCAAAACAGAGTATTTTGAAGTATTTGCACTCAATAGGTGCTTAGTGAATCTTGATTAGAGAAGCTTCTGTGTTCTTGTATTTGTGTGTATATTCAATAAAATAGTAGGTATTATTTTTACTTTTTTATGTTAATAATGATCATATGGAATGTTAAATTATTGACTGTTTTCTTTTTCTCATTATTATAATACTCTTAAGAAAAGCTTATAAGTGTTAAAAAAGGAGAGAAGGAATAGTGTAATTTAGAGTAAAAGTCCTGCTAATCTTAAAGAAATGAAGTATAACCAGGTATTATTTGGTAGTTGGAAATTAATATTTTCCTCTGTGTTGTTCAGATTGGATAATTTTTATTGTTCTCTCTTCAGGTTTACTGATTCTTTCCTTTGTCCTATTCATTCTGCTATTGTGCCCATTTGATGAGTTTATTTCTATGATTGTACTTTTTTTCCAGTTTTATTGAGAGATAGTGGACATACATCATTGTATAAGTTTAAGGTATACATCATGATGGTTTAATTTACATATACATTGTGAAATGATTACCACAATAGATTCAACTAACATCCATCTTCTCATCTAAATATAATAAAAAGAAAAGTAAAAAAAGAAGGAAAAAAGCTCTCTTTGTGGTGAGAACTCACAGGATGTCCTTTCTTAACAACTTTCCTATATCTCACACAGCAGTGTTAACTATAGTCATTGTGTTGTATATTGTATCCCTAGTACTTATTTATCTTATAACTGGAAGTTTGTACTTTTTAACCATCTTCCAGTTTTCCCTCCCCCCACCCTGGCCTCTCGCAACCACAAGTCTTATCTCTTTTTCTATGAATATGTGTGGATTCTTTTTTTAATTTTGGGTTTTTTTTAGATTCCACTTATGAGATTATACAGTATTTGTCTTTCTCTCTGACTTATTTCACTTAGCATAATGCCCTCAAAGTCCATTGATGATGTTGCAAATGGTAGGATTTCCCCTTCTTATGGCCAAATAATAGTTGTGTGTATGTGTGTGTGCACATGTGCACATACCACAGTTTCTTTATCCATTCATCCATCCATGGACAGACAGGCTGTTTCCATGTTCCATGTCCTGCTATTGTAAAGAATGCTGCTATGAACACAGGAGTGGAGATATCTTTTTGAGTTAGTGTTTTTGTTTTTTGGGGATATATTCCTGGAAGTCAAATTGCTGAATCATATGGTAGTTCTAGTTCTAATTTTTTAATGATCTTCCATACCATTTTCCAGAGTGGCTGTACCAATTTACAGTCCCACTAACTACACAATGGTTCTCTTTTCTCCACATCTTTGCCAGCATTTGTTATCTTGTCTTTTTGATAATGGCTGTTCTAATAGGTGTGAGGCAATATCTCTAGAGCTCAGTTTGCGCATACCCATTTCTTGAGACAGAGGCACCTGGATGGGTCAATTGGTTAAGTGTCTGCCTTTGACTCAGGTCATGATCTCAGGGTCCTGGGATCGAGTCCTGTGTCGTGCTCCCTGCCCATTGAGGAGCCTGCTTCTCCTTCTCCCTCTGCCCCTCCCCCCGGCTTGTGTGCATACACTCTCTCTCTCTCATGCTCTCTCACTCTCGCACTCTCTTGCTCTCAAATAAAAAATAACAAAATCTTTAAAAATAAAAAAAAATTCTTGAGACAAAATGGAAACACAACATACCAGAACTTGTGGGATGCAGCAAAAGCACTCCTGGAAGGGAAGTTCATAGCAATAAATGTCTGCATTAAGAAGCAAGAAAGATCCCAAATAAGCAACTTAACTCTACACATTAAGGAATTAGAAAAAGAACAAACTGAGCCCAAAGTTAGCAGAAGAAATAATGATTAGAGTAGAAAGAAATGAAATAGAGAACAGAGAAACAATAGAACAGATTAACCAAACTAAGAGTCGGTTCTTTGAACAGATAAACAAAATTAACAAACCGTTAGCTAGACTAAGCAAGGACAAAAGAGTAAGGACCCAAATCAACAAAATTATAAATGAAAAGGGAGGCATTACAACTGATAACACAGATATTCAAAGGATCCTAAGAGGCTATGATGAACAACGAAATGCCAACAAACTATACAACCTAGAAATGGATAAATGCTTAGAAACATACAATTTACCAAGACTGAATCAGGAAGAAATAGAAAATCTGAACAGACCAATTACTATTAAGGAGATTGAATCAGTAATCAAAACTTTCCCAACAAATAAAAGCCCAGGACCAGATGGCTTCGCTGGTGACTTTTACCAAATACTTAAGGAATAATTAACATTAATCCTTCTCAAACTCATAGTAGTGAAGAGGAGGGAACCTTCCCAAACTCATTTTACCAGGCTGGCATTATCCTGATACCAAAACCAGAAAAGGATACTACTAGAAAAGAAAATGACAGGCCTATTCCCTGATGAATATAGATGCAAAAAACCTCAGTAATGTACTAGCAAACTGAATTCAAAAGCACATTAAAAGGATCATACATTATAATCAAGTAGGATTTATCCCAGGGATGCAAGGATGATGGTTCAATATATACAAATTAATCAATGATTTGATTGAAAGAAGTGAATCATCTGATCATATTAGTAGAATGAAATAAAAGAATCATAGGATCATCTCAGTAGATGCAGAAAATGCATTGACATAATTAAACATTCATGGTAAAAACTCTTAAGAAATTAGACATAGAAGGAACATATCTCAATATAATAAAGGCCATGTATGATAAATCCACATCTAACATCTTACTCAATGATGAAAGGTTGAAAGCTTTTCCTCTAATATCAGGAACACTCTCACCACTCTTAATTCAACATAATATTAAAAATCCTAGGTAGAACAATCAGGCAAGAAAAGAGATAAAAGGTATTAATCCCATTTACAGTAGTATCCCAAACAACAAAATACTTAAAGAATAAGTAAAGAAGGGAAAGATTTCTACTCTGAAAACTACAAGACATGGGTGAAAGAAATCAAAGAAAACACAAATAAATGAATAGGTATTCTGTGTTCATGGCTCAGAAGAGTTAATGTTAAAATGTCAGTACTACTGAAAGCTATCTATAGATTCAATGCAATCCCTATCAAGAGTCCAGTGCCATTTATCACAGAGCTAGAAGAAGCACTCCTAAAATGTATGTGGAACCACAAAAGACCCAAATCCTGAGAAAGAAAAACAAAGCAGGAGACATCACACTTCCTGATTTCAAGCTATATTATAAAGTTATAGTCATCGAAACAGTATCATACTGGCATAAAAACAGACAAATAGACCAGTGGAGCACAATCAAGAGCCCAGAAAAAAACCCAAACATATACAAGTCAACTAATATTTCACAAAGGAGCCAAGAATACTCAATGGAGAAAAGACAGTCTTTTCAATAAATGGGGCTGGGGTAATTGGATATTCCCATGTAGAAGAATGAAACTGGATCCATATCTTACACCACTCACAAAAGTTAACTTGAAATGGATTAGAGACCTAAATGTAAGACCTGAAACCATGAAACTCCTAGAAGAAAACACAGGAATAAAGCTCTTAGACATGGGTCTTGGTAATGATTTCTTGGCTATGACACCTAAAACACAAGTAACAGAATAAAAAATGAACAAGTGGGACTACATCAAACTAAAAAACTTATGTACAACAAAAGAAACCATTAGCAGAGTGAAAAGAAAACCTGTGGAATGGGAAAAATATTTGCAGACTATATATCTGATAATGGGTTAATATCCAAAATATATAATGAACTCCTATAACTCAATAGCAAGAAAACAAATAACCCAATTAACAAATGGGCAAAAGACCCAAATAGACACTTCTCCAAAGAAGATGTACAAAAGGTCAACAGGTATGTAAAAAGATGTTCAACATCATTAGTCATTAGGCTAATGCACATAAAATGACAATGATATCTTACTAGTCAGAATACGTCCCCAACTTGATTCTGCAGATGAGCAAAACCACTCGTTGGGATTACTATTTGGGTACTGCAGGTATGAATTTGGTCTGCCGTGATCCGTGTGTTGGCCAGCTGCAAGCCTTTCCCTCCTTCCCTGTCATACTCATATTCCCAGTGGTTGAGCCCTGCAGATTCTCCTGCTATGCCTGTGGTGTGAAATCAAAATAGGGGCCCCCGCAATGCTGAGCAAGGGCTGGTTGTCCCCCCAGGTTCTCTTTTCCCACTGGAGGTACTGGAGGCTCGGGTACTATGCTGGCATGGGGTAGGGGCAATGTGGCCAATGTATAGCCACTTCTCTTACACTTTTTTTTTTAGAGGGGGGAGAGAGAGAGTGAGCATGAACAGGAGGTAGGGTCAGAGGGAGAGGGAGAGAAAATCTTAAGCAGGCTCCACGCCCAGCACAGAGCCCAACTTGGGGCTTGATCTCACAACCCTGAGATCATGACCTGAGCTGAAATCAAGAGTCAGATGCTTAACCAACTGAGCCACCCAGGTGTCCCTTCTCTTACCCTTCTAATCCAGTCTGACTTGGTCTCTGTGGTGCAGAGGGGTGCTTCAGCCACACCCCCATGTTCTAGGAATCTTTCAGTGGTGTCTTGTTCTTGAATAGTTATTAGTTGTTCTTGTGAGCAAAGTCAGAAACAACCTATGTTGCCATCTTGGTGATGTCACTTCCTGTGATTGTGCTTTATTTTTATAATTTCCATTAATTCTCTTTTAATATCTCTTTTTCTATGAGATTTTCTGTTTTTGCATTTGCTTCAAAAATATTTGTAATTGCTCATTGAAGCATTTTGATGATGGCTGCTTTAAAATCCTTATCAGATAGGGACACCTGGGTAGCTAGTCAATTAATCATCTGCCTTCAGCTTAGGTCATGATCCCAGGGTCCTGGGGTCGAGTCCTGCATCAGGCTCCTTGCTCAGTGGGGAGCCTGCTTCTCCCTCTGCCTGCCGCTCCCCCCTGCTTGTGCTCTCTCTCTCTCTCTCTCTCTCTCTCTCTCTC